AAGTATAAACTCACTTAATTGCTATGGTTATATATATATATATATATATATGGTCTTAGGTCATTTTGCTTCTTAAGTAAATGTTTCTTGATTTAACAATGTTAAGATATTTGTACTTGAAAATAAGACAAAAATGTAAACTAAGAAAATATTTTTTTTGCAGTTTATTACATTTGTACTGTGTAGCACTACAACATACTGTATGAACACTGCAACAAAAGTAACAACATGAAGTGTTTTTTTCTTCTAAATTTTTTTTTTTTTCAAATTGATAATATTTTCTGAAAAATCTAGAAGTGAGTTTAAGTCTAAAAAACTGCGTCTTTAAAAAAGAAAAATAATCTTAATTAAGAGAAAAACAAGACTATTTTTTTTCTAACTGCAATGACAGATATTTTTTAACTCATTTTATAAATGTTTCATAAAAAAGTAATTCTTAAGTCATTTTGCATCTCAAGTAAATGCGTCTTGATTTAAGAATGTTTAGACATTTATACTGGAAAACAAGGCCAAAATACAGAGGAAGAACATTGCTTTTTTGCATTGAAATAATTTATTACATGTATTATTTCGTTTTTTTTTTTATTTTATAAATAAACTGATGCTAAATCTCTGCATTTTTTTTCTTTAAATAAATATTAAACACAGAATCAGATAACAAATTCCATTTCATCTCATCAGCTGAGATATTATTAGCCAGACTGATAGCAAGTTTTCTTTCATTTAATGTCAGTATTCTGTCTCATTTAATCAACCTTGCCTCATTATTCCCGGCTGTGTGCATGACTTTGAATTAATGAGACTGTAATCTTAATGAATAATCAGACTCATTATAAACACTGTGAGATGCCTATCAGTCTTGTTAGATTATTTCACCGTTCTTAGGTGGATTGTCTGCTCGCAGTGGGAAAACATGATGGTATAATTTCATTTCTCACTTCTAATCTCCACTCACACATTTATAAGGAAGGCTTTTATGTCGTCTGAAGTGACATATGTGGGTATTTTTTCGTGTGAACTACTGGCACTGCACTGAAAACCTTAAATTAGTCCAATCTCCGAGTCAAAAGCGACTTAAATGACACATTGACAGCATCTAAAACACATAAACAGAGAGTCAAGACTCCTCTAAAATGTCCTCATCTTCATGTGTCCAACAGGAGCAGATGTTTGTCCCGTACCCTCTGCATGCTTTGAGGAATCAGGGAGGAACCATGTGCCACACCAAACCCTTCCCCATCCCAGGCTCCAAGAGTGAGATTCAGCAGATTTCGGTGAGGAGATGTTTCATTGATTTTATATTGGAAATACAAACTAGCATTGTAAAGTGAGAAGCCTTATTGACTCGAGAGGTCTCATCCTCCCACAGCAGGTTTAGCTTGTTGGCCAAGAATCAAAGCCATTTCTTAATTTAGCAATTTCTTTCTTTGGGTTGCTGCTTTTTTAATATGAGCAAGATATGTGGAATACGTTTCTGTGGAGCTTGATTTATGGTGAGACTTCAAAGTCAAGTCAAGTCACCTTCATTTATATAGCGCTTTTAACAATACAGATTGTGTCAAAGCAACTGAACAGCATTAATTAGGAAAATAGTGTGTCAATAATGCAAAATGACAATCGTAAACACTTTGACATCAACACAAAGTACATCTTAAGTATTAAGCTCTACAGTACATTGCAAAATAATCTGTAGTTTTCATTGCTTTCCAGTAATAAGTATCTAAACATGCTTAAAAAACCTTGAGATTATTTAGGGGTTATATAAGATTTGATTTTGGATTTGATTACATGAATTCGTATTTTTTTGTTTTCTATTTTAGGCATAAATCTAACAAAATGTAGGGAAGTTGGCATGCTATACCAAGACATAACCATTATTAATTAACAAGCAATTAATTAAAACCAATGGGGCGACGGAAATAATCTTAATTCAGTGTATTTTGTGCAATTCTGCTTAGAATAAGCTAATTAAATGGGTTAATTGCTAAATTAATTAATTATATTATAGGGGCATTTAGATATTTTGACTGGGGAATGAAACAAAACACAGATAAAAAAATAGAAAACTAAATATTTATTTAATTTTATTATTTATATCTATTTTTTAATTATTTTATTTTTTCCATGCAAAAGATGATTTTCTTACTTAGAGTTTTTGTCTTGTTTTCCAGTACAAATATCTAAAGATTCCTAAATCAAGATACATTTGATTTCATCAAAATGAAGCATTCATTCAAAAAATTAAAAATTAAAAATAAATAAATCTGCCAGGTGGGATGAGAAAAAGAATAAAAAAATAATGGTTTATCTGTGTGTGTATGCATATTTAAGACATACACACACATGCACACACACACGCACACACACACACACACACACACACACACACACACGCATATGCATCTGCATATATCTTATTGTAAGCTAATATTTTAATCATTTTTATAAATTGATAAATGTATACATTTATAAAAAATTTTCAGAAAGCAAAACTTACAATACTAGTTTTTCAGGTAAATGAAAATATTCAGGTTAATGTTCTTAAACAGCATCCACAGATAATTGAATTCACACCCATCCATGCATTTCAATACAGGTTAAGCTTGCACTGGAAAGCTGAATCCTGATCCATGTGCTCCAGCAGTGAACAAATGAGCTCTGCTTAACGGGTTTTGTGTGAAAGACTGCTGTCTTGTTCCTCGAATGCACTAATGTGTGACAGCTCTTTCAATTGAGAGACTAACCTTTCTTTAGAACAAAATTGCCTCTGTCTCCAAATAGGCTGTTTTCTTTTCAATATATCTTTTTTTTTTTTCCACCTGCTGAAATAGATTTTAACATTCGCTCCAAAGTGCTTTAGTTTCTTACTAGTTAATGAGTCTCGTCACGCCACCAGTGTACGCAGCCAAAGTAGACGCATCCTTCCATTTGATTTAGACATTTTACAGTCTCTGAAAATTCGTCTGGAGCTACCGTACATAAAAAGTGTTGCAAAAACACCGAAAACGTATTACCTCCTGTAACCTCGCCTTCCCCGAGAGCTTTGCTGATTTATGAAGGCTGTCGTCTTGACTTCTGTATTCACAGTGTTTAGTCCATTTACAGTTGGAAGTCTGTAATGGGGTCAGTATGTATTTATTTATTTAATAATACATGAGATTCATGTAAAATGTGAGTTAAAAATATAATTTATATCTATACAAAAATAAAATGGCATTAAATGGAAATGTTTTTTTTGCTACTGTGCTTCTAAATGCCTTTTCCGCATGTGAAATTGAGGCTTGATGGTTTTCTGTCGGATCTAATATAGTTGCTGATGCCTTACCTTTCAATAACAGACTCTTTTCAATTTCTGAATCAGTGTTATTATTTATTATTATTATTTTTTATGAATTTTGTGTGTGTTTTTGTTACATGTATTATCATTTTTTATGTTGCTTTTTTTGTATTTTTTGTTCCAGTTTTAGTTTTATTTATTTCAGTACATTAAGTTAACCTAAATGAAAATGAAAATTTGTATTTAATTTCATTTATATTGTATAATAGTTATATATTCTGTAAATGTTCTATTATATTTCTTAATATATTATATAAAATATGTTATTTATTTATTGATTGATTGATTGATTGATTGATTGATTGATTGATTTTATGGTTTTAGTTTTAATTAACAAATAATAACCCTGGTCGGCATTACAGTGAGAACAAATCAAATCTTGAAATGTGTGCATCACAGCTTTTAAGGTCAAGCTAACATAATCAGCTTTTGTTAGTTGCATGCAAACTGGAATTATGTGTATCGTTTTCTGGTGTTTCGGAATTACAGCTCATCTTGGTGACTTGGTGGGCTGGTTTCTGAACACCAAACGTTCTTTGTTGATGTGTAAATGTGGGCGATCATGTGTTAAAGTATTCATGTTTCTCAAGTCAGAAAGTTCGAGCAAATCATTTTTGCAGCATGGTGATACATGCTCCTTTTTGACTGGAGAAGAAGTTCTGAAAGTTACAGTATGTTGTCATCAAACTCTTTTCTTTGAAAGAAAAGAAAATAAATCAATGAACATTGGATTGTTCGTACCATGAGCCCTTTCACGTCTACGGTGTGTTTTATGCAGGATAAATGGCTGCTTCACTCGGTCCTGATGCTGGTGCAGTCGTGGATGGAACCCCTGATCTATCTGCAAACTACTCTTAATCGTTACGATGACGCCCCCGACGCTCTGCTCAACAAGACCAAGTGGGTGTCTGATAAACTGCTCAGCCTTGAGCAGGGGGTGGTGGTCCTCATCCGCAAGGTAAATCAATAATAACAGCGTCTCACGGTGCAGCCGAGCCGAGCAGCTTTTCACTCCGCTTTCTCCGCAGATGCTGGATGAAGGGATCCTGACGCCGTCCATCTTCGAGCACACGCTGACCCCATACGATGAACCGTCCCCAGAGATCCCGGAGTCCGTCCTCAGGGACTACAACCTACTCATCTGCTTCAAGAAAGACGCCCACAAGATGGAGACCTTCCTCAAGCTACTCAAGTGCCGTCAGAGCAACAAGCTCAGCTGTCTTTCCTACTAAACCTGCATCTTATATCTAAAGAAAAAGCTTTATTTTGAAGAATCGAAAGTGTGCGTTGAATTGGCAGTAGTTACCCTAGTTAGCAAACATTCAATGAGATCCCATAGTGTGAAAGTCAGAAAAGGGAACAGATGAAGATTCACACCGCTCTCACACACATCTGCACTTTTGATTTCTTCATCCACATAGTCTTTCAATGTCTCTCCAGGTCTCTGGTGTGTTGACAGGCATGCTTTTTTTTTCTTGCTTCTTATAGCGGAGATGGTTTCACCTTTGTATTAGTTAGATGAAAAAGCTCTTGATACAGAAATATGCTAATGAAGCCACAAAGCAGATTGTAAATGTTTCCAGTGTGTGTGTGTGTGTGTGTGTGGTGTGGGTTGAGGGATTTGTTCTAGGAGAGTAAAAGCTTTACTTTATGGATGAACATGATGGAAATTTACATGAGATATGACACAAGATTAAAATATATAACTACTGGATGCCCAATGAATAAGAGCAGACTGATTGAATAATGCAAAGTGTGTCTGTAAAAAAAATACATATATAAAAAGATGATTTGTGTATATGCAGATTTTTTTCTTACTTTATCTTTGTCAAATTATACTTATCTATGTAAATAAAAAGAGGCATATACTATTTCTGTGTGTGTGTGTGTGTTTATATCTATCTATCTATCTATCTATCTATCTATCTATCTATCTATCTATCTATCTATCTATCTATCTATCTATCTGTCTGTCTATCTGTCTATCTGTCTGTCTGTCTGTCTGTCTGTCTGTCTGTCTGTCTGTATATCTGTGTAATTTTTTTCTAAGTAAAATCTCTGAAAATCCTTGAAATAAGATAACTGTCTCTGAGTAGTAACATGCATGGTATAAGATGCATAAAAAACATGCAATCTATGAAAACAAGTCTCTGAATTATATGCAAGTAAATTGATCTTATCCTCTAGAGTTGTGGTCAAATTATCCAGCAGTAATTTCCATCTAGACAGGATGAGGTGAATATGACTAAAGTTAGTGAATCATGGTTTAATAGTTTGGCTCCCTCACTGTTATGCCCTTTTTCTGAGGGTTAATTGACTTTTATAATTATGACCAGAGGGCAGGAAAGACAAACAAACAGGCCTGTTAAAAATGTTAATGAGGTAGTGGTTCTCTAAAGCTCTGTCTGTAACCAGCGACCATCACGATGGCAACAGTAGCAGTGTGTTATTAAAGAAAACAATCACAAGAGACCACCATCTGGGAGCCCAAGCATAACTCACATCGTTCATATGATCCCTGTCATGGAAACATCACATCAGCCCATCTTCACTTTTCTCAAAGCATTTGCAAAAACTCATATTTTCACACACACTTATTTTTAAATTCATGGTCATAATTTTGAAGTTTTAAAACATTTAAAATGTCCGTTGCAAAGGCTCAACGGATTAATCACAGATTCAGAAACATAAGCAAACGTTCTAGTTTTTGACAGCTGTGAAACCTTGATTTTGTCATATAATTCATAATTTGAGAAAGGCTTTGGATTTGTCCTCGCATTTATCAGAAAGCATTTAATTATGTATGAAAGACATTTTATTTATTCATTCTTTCTATCTTTCTTTTTCAGTTTTTTCAGACACAATCCCAGTACTCAAGAACAAGTGCCAAAAGTTTATTAATATTCATATAAGATTTATAAAGCTAAACTGCGAATGTGCTATGGCCAATTATGTTTTTCTTCTTCATGCATTATTCTGGACACAAAAGCATGGTATGAATGTAATATAACCCACACCAGAAGGTGGCACTAGACATCTGCAGTACAAAAAAAATACGTCAGGAAAAGTGGAGCCAAGAAGATTATTATTATTTTTTAATATTCACACCCAAATTCTCCAAGGACAGAAAATATGTCAGTATGAGAACGCTGAAGAGAAATGGAATGGAACACAGGTCTGATATTATGTATGTAGGCTGTGTATGTATTTATGTGCACGATTCAGCATGAAATGGCTGAACATTCGTCATTCTAGTGTTGTTGTTTTTTTTTATTGTATTTAATTTTTCTTAATATCATATCATTTTTGAGGCATTTATGGTTTGCTTGATGAGAAATAAGATATGACCAACATGAGAAATCACTTGTTTTAATTTCAAATATAAGATGTGTACAGTTTTCATTTAATATATTTGAACAATATATTTTTTTTTTTACCAAAACATAATTGAATAAATGTGCAATTTAATGATCAAAGATAAATTTTCTCGCATTCAAAATGGTCCTGAATGGATATGAAGATTGTGCTAGGGTTTAATATTCCACGCCCACCGTCTCCATGTCCAAGTTCCTCTTATCAGAAGGTGTAAATCACCGTCTGGCTGTCATGAGAGGGGTGCTCCGGCACAGTGAGGGTCTTGTGGGCAGGATGTGGCGGTGAGGCCTGGTGTCAGCAGTGTCAGGTTCAGCTTCCTGTGTCCTAATCATTTCAACATGGAGGCCCATGCCTGGGCTCTGGCTGCTAAACCGCCACCCTGGGCCTCTCTCCGCCAGCACTGCAAAGAAAGCAGCAGTGTGGACCTCCACCCCTCAGCCCCCTTCCGCTCCCTCGGCTCTACAACCATAACTATTAAAGATCTGCTATACGAGAGCGGTGCAAAGTTTGGGGAGTTGGGGAGCGGCGTTGACTAGATGATTTCACAGTCTAAGTATTATAATCTCAGGTAAGAAAAGCTAGACTGCTGGAGCGCAGGAGAAAGACTGTGTGCTTACTGGAGTAAAGAGGGAGTGAGAAAACAAAGATAAATAGATGTTTAAAGGCATAGGTCACCCAAAACTGACAAATTCGGTCATTGTTCCAAAATGTGTCCTTGTCTTTCTTTGTTATGCTATTACAGGGAATGGGGACTGACGCTATCAAGCTTTAAAATGGATTCTATTTTTTTTTTTTTTTTATTTGCATGCATTTCTATCTACTGTAAATGGATGTCAAAAGTGGATTGATGTCAAAACAATAAATAAAAATGCAGAACAACAGTAATTGTGACCCCACCGTTAGAATTTTTTATTTTTTTTGTTCCATGCAAAAAAAGAACATCATACAGCTTTGACACAATCTGAGATTGATTAAATGATGGCAAAATGTTTTATTTTTGGATTTGGGGAGTTGGGGAGCGGCGTTGACTAGATGATTTCACAGTCTACGTATTATAATCTCAGGTAAGAAAAGCTAGACTGCTGGAGCGCAGAAGAGAGACTGTGTGCTTACTGGAGTAAAAGAGGGAGTGAGAAAACAAAGATAAATAGATGTTTAAAGGCATAGGTCACCCAAAACTGACAAATTCGGTCATTGTTCCAAAATGTGTCCTTGTCTTTCTTTGTTATGCTATTACAGGGAATGGGGACTGAAGCTATCAAGCTTTAAAATGGATTCTATTTTTTATTTTTTTTAATTTGCATGCATTTCTATCTACTGTAAATGGATGTCAAAAGTGGATTGATGTCAAAACAATAAATAAAAATGCAGAACAACAGTAATTGTGACCCCACCGTTAGAATTTTTTATTTTTTTTTTGTTCCATGCAAAAAAAGAACATCATACAGCTTTGACACAATCTGAGATTGATTAAATGATGGCAAAATGTTTTATTTTTGGGTGCACTATGCCTTTAAATTCATTATTTTGCATGGTCATTGCAGAGTATCTCATTCTGGCTCTCAAACGTTTTTTTGTGCACTGGCTTAGAGAGACAGAAGCTGATCTTTCTCCAGTCTGCTTGGAAAACAAAGAGCGGCCAGGCAGGCGCAGGCCAGAATCTCTTAAACACTCAGTCATGCAACAGGACACACTATCTAATACTGAAGTCCCTCTGAAGGCTATACAAAACTGTCCAAGTCTGCTTAAGGGCCCAAGAATCCTTCTGTCCCTCTGTGCGTTGAGTGCCAAGATGCAATACAGTCCCAGCCAGTGCAGTGGTGTGGAAGAAGAGAGCGTAACCCCACAGCTGAGCCCAGTGAGTGGGGGAATGGTGTATTCTGAGCTTCAGCCTAATCCATGACCTCCCTGGAGGCCGTCTTAGACAGGCTGTGTGTATGTGTGAGAGGAGGAGAGGTCACAAGGTCACGGGGCTAGGCCTCTGCTAACCGTTCCAATATGTGCAAAGATGTCAAATGAAGTGGCTGAGGTTGTAACAGTTGGCTAGGGTTTCTCTTGCCTGAAAGAGGGAGCGATTCAGAAAGAGAGAGAGAGTCAAGGGCCTGTTGTCTACCACCATACGTCAGCAAAACAAACTGAAGAATTGGAATACAGTGCAAAAAAGCAACCTACAAGCTAATTAAACATATATTTAGCATTATAAGAAGATATTTTTTTTCTAATGACAGCTTGGAACGTTGTGCATATTATTGTGGAAAAGAAGTGTGCTTATTGTACTGAATGTATATATATATA